ATTTCGAAGTACCTATATACGGCGTAATTGTCCACAATGACGCCACAGTACACACAAAAATTGTGAAATAGGTGAAAATCCCAAAATCAGCTGGAAAATCATTCTCCTGGAAAAGATCAGTTACAAGATGATAGAAAAGAGAATTGCGCGAAAAGTCATAACGTTGAAGTAGCTGAGAGATAGGCGCATTTTACTGCAATTGCAGCGCAATCGATTAAAAACGTGCCAAATTGGCAGAGAGCTACTCGCACATAGAAAAACTTTCCTCCTTATCTGAAAAAAAATCAAAATCCAGATGCATTAAGGCAATCCATCGCGAAAGTTTGATTCGATGTACCTGACATGGAATATTCCAAAGTGGTAAAAGTTAATCGAGTACGTCTTTTGCCAGTCGATAGATTTCATTAAGGAAAGAAAAAGCCCCAAAAATATGGGCTAATACTCTCTGCATTCTAAGAAATAGGTTTTTTCCTTGCATCGACAAGACGAACCTTGTAAGGTTTCATACAAAACTCTTCATTCTAAAAGAAGATTTAGTACCGAATCGTAAAAGCTCTGTATTTGCGTACATAATCTTAAGAATGATAGAATGAAAAAGGTTTTGTAGTTTCTCTACGAAAACCTTTGTTAGGGGTTTGATACGACATCTTAGAAGATTCTTCCTGTTTATCCACTAGAAGAATCTTTTAAAGTTTTGTATTAAACTATTTTAGAGTGTGGTTGTGGAGAAGAGCTGAGTAATATTTTCGTATATGTATTGTTGCACTGTTCTTCTTCCTTTATTTGTTCTTACTCGTGGATTCAATTAAGGCTTCTTGACCGAAGTTTATACTATCAGATGAAGAAGCGAATGTGTTCTTCTGATGCATCCGTTAGAATTTTAGGTGTTCGCTATGGACACACTAATTTCGACTCTTACGTAAAAAGACACGAGCGAAGGATGCAGAAAATGCTCATATTCGTTGGTAAAAGTGTTGAGTCATAAGCAGAGCACGTGGAAGAGCGTTGACGCTTGGAAAGATGTCATGCTATCACAAATTTCACTTTGGGCAGTATTGTTGTAGATTGAGATAATGACTATATTGTTTAGTATCTATAATAGGTTAACCGAACAAGTCTGACATGATTTACCACACAACATAAAAGCAACTCCTACTAACCGAATAGTTTGCAAAAAATAAGCTGTATTTTTTTTGCCCAAGAGCTCGAAATTGGCAAAAAGGAACTTAAATCGTTTTCTGAGAAACGCGCGTGCCTGTTTTAGAACAAAAACATCTATTACATAGACAGTTGCTTTTCTCAGCAATGGTTTAGATACCCTCTGCCAAACTTCAAACATCTGAATAGAAAAATACAACGAACCTTCCGATTGACCCGTGTTGATAGGAATTTTTTTATGACACATAGTAAATCGTGAACAAATTGACCAGCCCTTATATCAATCGATAATTGAAGGCGACGTCAGTTAAAAAAAACTGCATTCGTATACTTATTACATCGAGAGAGTGAAAATAAGCTATTTTAGAGTATGGACAGACTTCTGCCGCGACAGCTGTGTCATACACGTAGCCACGATATGTGTATGTGGAAACTAGGAGATTCCTACACATTTTTTTTCGAATCATAAATGTCAGATGCCTATATTCGTTCTCCATCTTAATTATCTGATTAAATGCGGTTCTTATGAGGTCAAATTTGAAGTTTTCTTCTCGTCTTTTGGAGACAGGTTTTCGAAGAACACATATAGAATGACATTAGGTTTATGAGCAACATGCTGAAGAAGATACACGAAATTTTTTTTACATCTTTTATTTTCTAGATTCACTGATGACTGCTGCTAACTACTGTATAATACGTTTAGCGGACTGGGAAAAAGACCAAGTAGCATTACGTTTTATCCGCCAAACTGTCTTCATTGAAGAACAAAATATACCTGAAGAACTCGAGTGGGATGAAAATGATGCCGTCTGCCGACATTTTCTTGCTGAAGACAGCAAAAGCGGAAAATTAATGGGAACTACACGCTTATTGGCTGACGGTCACATTGGACGGGTGGCTGTTTTGCCGGAGTATCGTAGAATGAAAATTGGTGAACGACTAATGCAGGCTGCGATCAAGGAAGCAGAAAGGCGAGGAATGAAGACACAAGTAATTAGCGCTCAAACTCATGCTATTCCATTCTATGAACATTTGGGTTTTCGCGTGATCAGCGGCGAATACGATGATTGTGGCATTCCACATGTGGAAATGAGCAGAAACAGCCACCAATAGAAGTTTGCCTTCTCCTCCTTGTATGCTTTTCCTCATCTGTTGTTCCAGTGAGAGAATGTTTGAATAAATTTGCGCAACTTCTTCGAAGATATCCATGAGATGACCTATTAAGAATCAAATTCAAACTATAAACTATGATGCATTTTTTTCCATTAAATCGATACTCAATAATAAAAGTCTTACCAATTGGTTTTTCTTTATTAATATTTTGATTGATTTCATCAAAATCAAATAAACTTTTACGTTCTTTATTAATACTTAATGTTTTATTTATCTTTTTTTGTGTTGTTAAATTCTTATTTTTCTTATCTATAGTTGTTAATGAATGCGATGAATCATTTGATAATGATGAAGCAACAGTTTTGTGGAACTCACATATATTTTCGAAGCAAATAGTGAGTGCAAGCTTTAAGTTCAAGTTTTGGCGGCTCCCCCCTTCTCCCTGACAGACAGGCCCCCATTACACACCATAGCAACGGAGAAACAGAACATTAAAGACATACCCCTCATTATACAAAATATATTTATCACTCTATTGATATTATAAAAACACTATTGAAAGCTTTTCGAGGGCAAAAACAGGCTGTCTTTTTCAAAGTATTGATCAATAAATGATATGATAGAGTCCTTCTTTGAAGTTCATTCAGTACGTGTTAAATAGCGGAAGAAATCCTCTATGGATTCATATATAGAAAGTTGTCTTTCTCGTATTTCATGTTCGAAATCAGCCAAATACTAGGCACATCTGGAGGCAAAAGTTTCGTCAAAAAATCAATCTTATGGTCCCTACAACTCGGACCAAGTACACTCAAATAACGTCAAAATTGGAGAGTATATGTAAAAGATGTTCTCTATCGAATGAGTCTATTGAATCGAAAACGTGTGGATGAGCATCTATCTCCTTGGTTAGCGCGCGACCGAAATTATTCAAAATTTTAGCCAAAAACAGGGTTTCAACTAAAAAGCCACGTTGAATGTAAAAGTTCAGACGTCTGACTGTTGTACCATACATTTATCTCAATATCGATGTTTCTCACGAAAATAGCCTTTTTTACCGGGAGGGGAGAGGGCTTCATCACAAAGTGTGACTATCAAACAGTGTATCGGTTTGAATTCACAACTGTTAAATCAGAAACAATCACGCTCAATTGGCTACTCTTTTCATGCTCTTAGCTTTGAATATTGCTAATAAGCAGCACCGATGAATCCTATATACATATATGTAGGAGACAATATGATATTTCTCAATCCATACACACACTGTTTACCGTTTGCATTCGCCTATTCATCAGAGCAATATGTGAAGAGGACAATACGGTGGATATGGAGGTGGTGACATCCTAGGTAAAATACCAAACGCAGATCAGAGGTGTTTGGATGGAACTAAGATGAAACATCTGACGCTTCTAGATACATGTTCTGGAAGAAAACTGGAGAAAAAGTATTTAGAAGCGCCAAATGTTTCCATTAACACGCATTCAAACGCATCTATACAAGAACACAGTAAACGCGATTCATGTTTTACCGCTCTTAAACGAATCTATTTACTTTTTTAATGTGTTTAGTCTCATTTCTTTCGAAAGAGTACGTTCCAACGTACTAAATTCTTGCTGACAAATGCGTTTCAAGTGCAGGAAGAAGCATGTTTTTAGACGTGTTGGTACCCAAAAATATTTTCAGGATTCACTATACGGGAAAATGCCAGTTCGACCACATCTTACATAGAAAACGATCGGTCTTGCAAAAAAGCTAATTAGCAACTTTCAGATTTTGTACTCGCTAATCAGATTCAATCGAAGAGGACAATTGCATAAATCTGTCAAAGTACTTGAGATATACAGATATCTGTGAAGGACATCTTTAAGTTGAACATTGCACGCAAATCTCAACATAGCAATGAAATCGAATTATTCAATTGTCTTCTTCAAAACAACATAATATTAATATTTTGTTTGTGAACTTTCTGTTATTCACACATATTGTAAGCAAGACGAAAAAAAGAATTGATGCATTTTGTTTGATGATATGATTTTGATTAATACGTCATGAGATGAGCAGTTTTCAGATAATGATACAACTAGCTATTCAATCTGTAAGTCACACTGCTGTTGAGCATGAATACTTACTACGACATCGACGACAAGAGCTATCATCTGTTGATACATCTCTGATGAAAATCTATTTTGATTAAGAAAGAACGAAGTAAATGTATCGACAGCTTCATCACCATAACTGCTGTTGTTCTTGTTTGTTGATTGGAGAACAATAAGAACTTGTCAATTTTTTTTGTTGATAACTCATCCATGTATAATCAATACATCTCTATTGATTAACACAATACAATTTTACCTAATCTATTTGGTTTTTTTTTGAAAAAGAAACAATTGAAATTGTCTGACTTTCTCAAAAGACACAATCAAAATTTTTAAAAGAGAAATATAAAAGATCCCAAGTCATAAATACGTCAAAATTTGTTGCAAAATTGCCTTGCAATTTGTTTTAACAAATTCTTATCATCTGACACACAATATGCAATGCTTCAAGCGAAGGCCAAAATAGCATCTAAACTGTAGATGCACCAAACATGTGCGTTCACATTGACTATATTATTTACATAAGGAATGAAAAGTAGTTTTGCCTACTTTTATTCATGATATTACTTTTGAAAGCATTTTTGTTTTATCGTATCGTATCGTATAGAACGTGTATAAGACGAGAGAAAAAAAAACATGTGCATCGAAGTGAATATTTTCAACACAGATAATCTATTGACAGTATTAAAATTTTTGGTAATTTTTTTTTCTTTTCATTGAAAATATTTCAATAAAATAGATTTTTTAATATTGTATTTTAGAGAGATCAATTACCTCAATCGCTTCTTCCTTGTCAACTACTTACATATGTCTACTCGAAGATAATTACTCGAGAAGATATTTATCCACAGATCTTTGTTAATCATCCGACTGAAATCAAATGCGTTATAATACTCTATTCTATGCCTGGTCTCGTTCCCAATTGGAATCTTACTCAAAATTATATTCGGAATGTTGCAATTGTTTGTGACAAAGAATATACGAAAAATGTTCTTGTTGAAATGTTAATAAAATGTATTCCATGGAATCAGAAACTTATGTTTTGTGCTATTGAACAACGTAATATAACACCGATAATCGAACAATTTATAGAAGAGAAGAAAATTAGTAACTATGAAATATGGACATATATTCAATTTCAATTAGACAAAAATGTATTTATGGAAAAATTGAAAATACTTTCAACAACAGTTCCACCAGGTAACAATGTATTTCAAAAAAATATTTAAAATTATTCTGAATTTGCAATTATAGGAATTGAAATTCGACCATTGAAATCAGAAGATGCATACATTATTATGGAAGTTGGAGGTTACAAATCATATGATATGTATACCATAGATCAAATTCAATTTTCGATTAAAAAATTATGCACCATGGGTAAGTTTTGATCTATTTATGTCAACATAGTTTTATAATGATCAAGATTTTATTTTGGAAAATATTCTTAAGAAGAAAATGCAAGTTCAGAATCCTTCTTGAGAAAATATTCTGTGAAATTATTGATATGAATTTTTTAAAAATATTTCCAGAATGAATGCTTCTTCAGTTCTAAATCTTTCTTGAATAGTGTAAAACGAGCTTGATTGTAAATTTTAAAAAAAAACAGGTGCATATCTTGATGGCAAACTAATTGGTTGGCGACTTTTGCTATACGATGGTTCTTTCGACATGGTATATACGCTTCCTGAAGCTCGTCGACTCGGACTCGCATCTCTGTTAAGTGTTCTATTAACGACAGAAATGTTAAAAATGCAGGAACGTGTTTTTGGGTATACAGCTTTAAATAATCAAAAATCAGTGGGATTAGCGGCTAAAATGGGATTTTATGAAACAGGCTTATATGATTGGATTGTATTCGAACCGAACGATATCTCCGTCAAAGAAGATCAACGGCATCCTCAGATACTGAAATCTTCTATCTAAGTTTTCTTTATTAAAGACTCTTTTGATCGAATTACATTTTTATTATCATCAAATTTTACACAAAAATATATAAATTATTTTGTAACTAATACGTATATTACAGAACATCGGCAACTTTCAGTTAAGAACTTTTTTTCTCTTTCGAATGAACTAGAACATTTCAACTTAATAATATCGTATGGAAAGAAGAGATGATATTGGATCATCTCTGCCAAGTGAATAATGAGGAAATGGCCATTAAAATACATTTTTTTTTAGCGAAAAATGGTAAAGTGACCATTAGAATGCGTATTGAATCGTTCGTGAACCATTTTGACCATTTTATGATCACCAAGTCTATTTTTTTGGAAATTTGATTTGATTTAAATATGTGTATAATTTCTAAAAATTACACGATTTACTAGTCTTTGCTTACAAGAGTTCATATTCTACATAATTGTTAAGAATATAGTTCAAAATTCACCGAATAAGAGTCAATCGAATTTTGTGATCATGATGAAGGAAAATTTAGAAATAACTAAAAAGAACTACTTTTTACATGACTTTAACAATGAATCGACAATTCTCAAATCGAGGAGAATCGTACTCTTCATGATACGCACCATATTTAAAAGTTTTTCCTTGAAAATCGAATGTCTATGATTGAAAAAAAAACGCAATCTTTTTTACTTGCAGTATATTTCATTTATCTCCACCAAATACAAAAACGTAAATCAAAGCATTAAAAATCCTTCGTCTGTTACCGACGTTTACATACATATGTAAAATTATCAAGTATTTGATTGGACAGGTTTTTATGATTTTTGCATTATTCTAATTTTTCCTTTAACATTTATTTCGTATCAAACGAGAGACTCAGTAACATACACGAAGAGTACTTTTAGTTACATATATATATTCGTGACTAATGTATATGCATCTTTATAAAATGAGCAATTGACGTATGTCTATGCCTACTTGTAATTTTACAGAGAGAAATGAATTCCTAGCTGTTACATTAACGTTTCAACTAATTGGAGTTTTTTTTTTCATTAAATTGTTCTTAAATTTCATTCGACGATTTCTTCAAATGATGGTTTAAGAATAAGATAATCCTTTTAATGAACGAATAATCGAGATTTTGAGTCGTTTACACTTTCTTTACGAATGAGGTACAATATTCTTAGCTTTTAGTCAGAATAAATTTTTATTTCGAGATAATTGTTTATTTATCATCGTCTTTATGTATTCATTTATTATTATATCTGTTTATAACCAAATGATCACTGGAATATTATTTTTTCTTGTCTTTCTGTTTTCTCTATATCTAAATTATCTGATTAGTTTATTACAATTGATCGATGATAGGCGTTTGTCTTCAAACGAAGAACATGTGATCGAGAAGGAACAAGAGAACAAATTCAATTCATTTAAAACGAAAATGATCTAGTAGTAACATGTTACCCGCTGCTTTACTTAATAGAATTCAGAACATGTTAAACTATAAACGAAAGAACAGAACAAAAAAAAACTCGATCCTCTGATTTTTGAACAATTTAGACGTTTGAGAAATTTTCTTTCGAATAAATTATTTGTCTAATTTATTAGCACGATCTATCTCTTCTTTCATATCTCTCTGAGTTAAATGAACATGAGTTCAAATTTTTTTCAATTAATTCGAAGTAGCATTGAAAATTAGATCTCACAATTAAATTTTACGTTGCCGAGTAATATCTAACACATACCGAGAGGTCGGCCATAGATAATAGCAGTTCGCTGAAAAATAGAAATCTGTTCAATACCCTGTTTTGAATAAAATAATGTAATATGTTTCAAGTCTATTTTAATCAATTTTTGTCTCTTGACGAATGACTTACATTAGCAGTTGATATAAATGAAAAAATGTACAAACAGTTCTATACAGAGTACATTGAATATAATATAAATGTTGTACGAAGAGAACAAGTCAAAAGATGAGTTGAACATTTAGAATGCTTGTGATAGAGGTGTTCGTATTGTCAGTTAATAAGTTTAGATATATTCGGGTCAAATTACAGCTCTCATAATTAAACTAAGAAATTTAAAATATAAGCTTTTGTTACCACGCCTAGACCATGATATTCGAATTTTACGATATTTACATTATATGAAACGTGCTCGCAAATCAAAATTTTAGCAGAATTTTTTTCCTTTTTTCATCATGGTTGTATAGAGCTCGTCGAGTTATATAAGAAAAAGTATGTTTCGAATTCAAAACACTCCTTGTGAAAATCAAAATTCTGAGTCTATTTTCCTATATATCTGAAAATAATATTATCGTAGACTTCGTAAAATATTTGTTTTTTGAATTTGAAACATACTTTTTCTTATATGCCTTGACAAGCTCTATTCAATTATGACGAAAACAGAAAAAAAATTCTGCTAAAATTTTGATTTGTGAGTACTTTAGATACGGTGAAAATATCCTAAAATTCGAATATTTTGATCTAGGCATGGTAGCAGAAGCCTATATTTTAAATTTCTTAGTTTAATGATGAGAACTGTAATTTGACCTGAGTATATCTGACCTTATTAACGAATAATGCAAACACATCCATCGCTTAGTCAAAAAATAACCATTTTAACCACTTGACTGTTAAGTTTTTTTTTAAAACTATCTGGTAAACTTTTTGCAAAATAACTTTTACAAATTCGTAGATAATTAAGGATAGTAAAAGACGTTATCGGACAAACATATTTTATTGTTTTATATAGAAAACAGAAATCGCTTCTCAATAACAAAGCACAAAAAACTTTGTCCTAGAAAAATGCGTTTTCAAAATTGAACGTTTCGCTCAAAAGTTCAGTTATGATAAATACGAAATCATGGATCAACGCAAAGTCCAACATCATAAATTGAACATTCGTATCTTGATTCATGTCTTGTTCGGTTAGTTTTCTTTTGGGAAAATACCTTTACTGGAAGAAGGGGAACAAACGAAATAGCTCGACTGAACAAAACATATTCAAAAAACCGATCTTAATCTTATTTGATCTTTTTCCCTCCTATTACGCAATTGCAAGGGTGAGGAACATAATCGATATGAAGCATCAGAATCAGTAGAGTGAGCTTCAATAGGTGCA